ATAATTTTAACATATTTCTCTCTCACTGTGATAGAAAAAGGACATTAAAAATCATTAATGCTGGGGCGCCTGGGTGGCTCAGTCGTTAAGCGTCTGCCTTCGGCTCAGGTCATGATCCCAGGGTCCTGGGATCGAGCCCCGCATCGGGCTCCCTGCTCGGCGGGAAGCCTGCTTCTCCCTCTCCCACTCCCCCTGCTTGTGTTCCCTCTCTTGCTGTGTCTCTCTCTGTCAAATAAATAAATAATAAAAAAAAAAAAAAAAATCATTAATGCTGTATAATGTTTGAATAAAACAATTAGTAGACTAAATCTAAAGAAATATATAAAGCATTGTATACCCAACAACTAAAGAATGATGATATTTTTTCCTATACACAGAAATATTTATTTAGAAGAACTGATCATATGTTGATTAAGGCAAGTCTCAATAAATTTCAAAGATATAAAAAGATATATAAATACTTATTTATAAAAAATACCATTAGAACAATACAAACCTTTGTAAATACTGGAAGGAAAAAAAGGGAATAAATCCCAGTCATATAAATAAATATAAATAGATCTAAACCACCCATTATAAAAAAAGATTTTAAAATTGCAATTCCAAATAAAAGTCAAATTCATGCTAACCTCAAGACACTCCTTATGCAATGATTCAGAAATATTGAAAATAAAATGGGAATAGTATGAAATTAGGAGTCTCAGCCTTAATATAAAACAAAGTGGAATTCAAACCTAAGAGCATCAAAAGTTACCAAAAAAAAGGCATTAATACTAAAATGTAACATTTATAATCGAGATAGAAAAGTTATGAATATTTCTGTACCAAATGACAGGCAACCTCTGTAAGGCAGGATATGAGGAAAAAAAACATATAATACATGAGATGTTTAATTCTCTTCTTTTAGTCCAAGATAGATTATGTCAGTAGAGAATAAATATGGACAAAGAATACATAAGTGATAAAGTCAATTTGGTAAACATGATCAATATCTGTCTAATTCTATATCCTTCAAAAATAATTCATTTATGAATATGACCATTTTTGCATACATTTAAAAATACATATATGTTCTCTGATTGTAACTGAATAAAACAAGAAAAAACAAAATCAGAATATGAAAACACCCTCCCTCCCTTTTGAAATTTCTTAAAGATTATTTTTTTTCGGGCGCCTGGGTGGCTCAGTTGGTTAAGCAACTGCCTTCGGCTCAGGTCATGATCCTGGAGTCCCGGGATCGAGTCCCGCATCGGGCTCCCTGCTCAGCGAGGAGCCTGCTTCTCCCTCTGACCCTCCCCCGTCTCATGTACTCTCTCTCATTCTCACTCTCTCAAATAAATAAATAAATCTTTAAAAAAAAAAAAGATTATTTTTTTTCTTTGTAATTAATCTCTACACCCAACATGGGTCTTAAACTCACTACCCTGAGATCAAGAGTCACACACTCCACCAACTGAGCCAGCCAGGCGCCCCCTACCCCTTTTGAAATTTAAAAAATAATTTTAGGTGATTCTTGCTTTCAATCAAGAATTACAAAAATTTCTAGAAAATAATGAAAATATTATATATCAGAAACTATGAGATGCAATAAACAACTACTGGGAGAATAATGTGTATATACATTATACACTCATTTCAGTAAGAAGGAAAAAAAAGGGGTGCCTGGATGTCTCAGTCAGTTAAGCATCTGCCTTTGGCTCAGGTCATGATCTCAGCATCCTAAGATTGAGCCCAGAGTTGGGCTTCCGGCTCGGCAGGGAGCCTGCTTCTCCCTCTCTGTCCGCCTGCTTGTGCTCTCTCTCTTTATCATATAAATAAATGAAATCTTAAAAAAAAAAAGAAAAAGAAACAACTGAAACACATGACTCATTAAAAAAATGAATGGAAGGAAAATATATAAAAATGTACACAAGTACATAAATTAATAACTAAAAATATAAAGCCAGCTAACCAACAATTAAGACAACTAGAACTTCATAAAAATAAAGAAATGGGTAAACCTGCCCCCCCCAAAGGAGATATAAATACATTCAAAAAAATGATAAGTTAATGCTGCTATAAACATTGGAGTGCATGTATCCCTCTGAAATAGTATTTTTCTATTCTTTTGGTAAATACCTAGTAGTGCAATTACTGGATCATATTTTTAACTTTTTGAGCAGCTTCTGTACTGTTTTCCAGAGTTGCTGCACCTGTTTGTATTCCCACCAGCAGTGCAAGGGTCCCCCTTTCTCCACATCCTCGCCAACACCTGTTGTTTCCTGTGTTGTTGATTTTAGCCATTCAGACAGGTGTGAGGTGGTATCTCATTGTAGTTTTGATTTGTATTTCTCTGAGGATCAGTGATGTCATAGCAACATTATCTACAATTGCCAAATTATGGAAACAGCCCAAGTGTCCATCAAATGGTGAATGGATAAAGAAGATGTGTGTGTGTGTGTGTGTGTGTGTGTGAGCGTGCACAATGGAATATTACTCAGCCATAAAAAATGAAATCTTGCCATTTGCAACAACATGGATGGAGCTAGAGAATATTATGCTAAGCAAAACAAATCAGTCAGAGAAAGACAAATACCATATGATTTCACTCATATGTGGAATTTAAGAAACAAAACAAATGAACAAAGGGGAAAAAAATAGAGAGGCAAACCAAGAGACAGACTCTTACCTATAGAGAACAAATTGATGGTTACCAGAGGAGAGGTGGGTGGGAGAATGGGTGATGGGGATTAAGGAGTGTACTGTTGTGGTGAGCACTGGGTATTATACGGAAGTGTTGAATCATTATATTGTATACCTGAAACTAATATTACACTGTATGTTAACTCACTGGAATTTATTTTTTTTAAAAGATTTTATTTATTTGACAAAGAGAGACACAGTGAGAAACACAAGCAGTGGGAGAGGGAGAAGCAGGCTTCCCGCTGAGCAGGGCGTCCTATGCGTGGTTCGGTCTCAGGACCCTAAGGACCATGACCTGAACCAAAGGCAGACGTTTAATGACTGAGCCACCCAGGCGCCCTGCTAACTGGAATTTAAATAAAAACTTTTAATAAATTAAATAAGAAACACAAAGTATAAAAAAAAAGAAACAAAAAGCACTTGAATTCCATGCAAATAAAATTTAAATTTTTTATAAGATTTTATTTAATTTTTATTTGAGAGAGAGAGAGCACGTGGAGGAGCAGAGGAAGAGGGACAAATAGACTCCACAATGAGCATAGAGCCTGATGTGGGGCTTGACCCCATGACCCTGAGATCATGACCCAAACCAAAACCAAGAATCAGACACTCAACCAATTGAGCCACCCAGGTGCCCCAATAAAATTTAAATTTTTAACAGAACTCATAACTTTCTAACTACAAAAAAAATATATTAAAACTGATGTCAGAAGAAATAGAAAATAGAAAACTGAAACTTTCACAATTTTTATAGAAATAAACTTGTCAAAGGTTCACTCTTCAATGAAATAAGAAAAGTCCCAGATGGCTTCATAGAGGGTGTTCCATAAGCTTTTAAAAGAGTAGATAACCCTGGGTGGCTCAGTCGGTTAAGTGTCTGCCTTCAGCTCAGGTCATGATCCCAGGGTCCTGGGATCGAGTCCCTAATCGGGCTCCCTGCTCAGGGGAGAGCCTGCTTCTCCCTCTCCCTCTGCCCCTCCCCCTGCTTGTGCTCTTGCTCTCTTTCAAATAAATAAATAAAATCTTTTTTAAAAAATAAAGAGCAGATAACAATGGTATTTAAATGTTCAGATACTAGAAAAATTAAAACTGAACAATATAAAATAAAAATATACTTAAAAATAAGGTTTACATATAAGCGAGATCATACTGTGTCTTTCTCTGTCTGACTTATTTCATGTAGCGTAATACCCTTAAGGTCGATCCATGTTGTCACAAATGTCAGAATTTCTATATTTTTTATGGCTGAATAATATTTCATTATATAGATATACCATATTTTCTTTATCCATTCAATCATCATTGGACTCATGTTTCCATGTCTTGGCTATTGTAAACAATGCTGCAATGAACAGCAGATACCTTTTTTAGTTAGTGCAGATATCTTTTTGAGTTAGTGTTTGTGTTTCCTTCAGATAAATACCCAGAAATGGAATTAGTGGATCATATGGTAGTTCTATGTTTAATCTTTTGAGGAACCCCCAAACTGTTTTCCCTACTGGCTGTACCAATATATATTCCCACCAGCAGTGCACATCCTCACCAACATTTTTTATCTCTTGTCTCTTTTATAATAGCCATTCAAATAGGTGTGAGGTGTTTGTATTTCACTCATTATTAGTGATACTGAGCACCTTTTCATGTACCTGTTGGTCATCTGGATGTCTTCTTAAAAAAATATCTGTTCAGATCCATTTTTTTAATCAGATTGTTTGTTTGCTATTGAGTTGTATAAGTTTTTTATGTATTTTGGATATTAACCCCTTATCAGATATATCATTTGCAAATATTTTTTCCCATTCAGTAGGTTACCCTTTCATTTTATTCATGGTTTCCATTGCTGTGCAGGAGCTTTTTAGTTTGATGTTGTCTGACTTGTTTATTTTTGTTTTTTTTATGTATATAAAGACACATGTATGATATGTATCATATAATTCTTATCTATGAGAGTGTTGGCCTGATAGAAGTTCCTTGGCCATTACTGGAAATAAAATCCTATATATTATTTTAATTGATTTAATAGAAGAGTTCTTTCCTAATGATATTTAAATAGGCAACTTCCTCTAACAAAATTCTGTCTTGGGTACATAGGAGTGTACACTGGATATGTGTTGAAAATTCCAGTTAGAGATGTTAGTATTCCATCTTACTACAGTGGGTTCCACCTAGAAAAGAAATAATCCTTGTTGGGAGCTCTTTGGGTATCAAACCTTCTTAGCAACATGGGCTAGAAAACCAGGTTTTCTATCTCATCCATTTAACTATATGCTCAGTGGAATAATTGACTTGGGTCTATTATGATTACTCTCTTGATTCAGATTAGGTCAAGAATTGGCTACTGTCCTCAAGATGACCCCATGCTCAACCACATGACAGGTCAGGAAATGCTGATGATGTATGCCAGGCTTCAAGGGGTCCCTGAGCCAGACATTTACAAGTATGTGGAAACCTTTTTGTATGCAATGCACCTGGAAACAAATGCTGATGAGTTTGTCCACATATACAGGTCAGACATAATGCTGTTGCAATTAAACTGCCTACTTGTGTTTCTACTGTTTAGAATGAATTGCCTGCAAACTCAACCTGATCTATCTGTCACACAGGGGCAATGACTGTGAAATAGCCTAATGTCCTGTCAGGGTTCAGATGTCAGGAATGAGGCAGATCCCACTTATATGAATTTAACCTTTTGCAGACATAAGCTGTAGACTTTGCATTTCATAAAAAAGTACCTTCATCCTTACCTCTTTATTGTTTTTTCTTTCCCCAAAACAAAATTGTTTTACCAATAATGATGCTGAAATAAATTACCAACGAAAAAGTCATTTCAATGAAAATGAATTGATATATACATCTGGACTTGGGCTTGCTGCTGCTTTGTGAGTCATATCAAATCAGCATTCTGTATATATGAGCTAATTCCTATGAATTAATGACATGTGTACCCTTATCTTCTTTCTCCTCTACTTTCTCCTTTGACAATAAAGTGAAGGAAACAGACGTAGACTGAATACTGCTATTGCCCTAATGGGAAAGTCCTCACTTGTGTTCCTGGATGAGCCATCTACTGGCTTAGACCCAGTAGCCAGGCGTCTGCTGTGGGACACAATTACATGGATGTGTAGAAGAGGCAAAGCTATCGTTATAACTTCCCACAGGTATGACCCTTTGGGAAGCTTGGTTGAAAGTTAAAAAAAGTATAGGAGGGCCTTAGGTGGAGCCAGAAATAAAGACAGTGAATGCTTAAGTATATGAGCTACATAGGAAAGACTGTAGGTAGAGGCTAATTCTTGACTGATGCCAAGAATCCTCAGTTGAATTCAGTAGTCCAGAAATGACAGAAGATAGGAAGTTAAGGAACTTTTCCTATTGTTATTTAGGAACCAACTGCTTTGAATCTTAAGATCTCCTCTTCCAAAATATGGTCTCAGTGGTGATTATCTGCATTACCAAGCTTTCCTACTGCAACTATTACTTTATCATCTTAGCTCTGTTTGGAGATATGGAATTTGCCTGCTGAAAGGCAATCTCTTCAACCATATCTCCTTTGTGCCCCTAGCATGGAAGAATGTGAGGCCCTCTGTACCAGACTGGCCATTATGGTAAAGGGGAGGTTCAAGTGCCTGGGCAGTCCTCAGCACCTCAAGAACAAGTTTGGTAATGCATACACTCTGACAGCAAAGATTAAGTTTGGAAACAATGAAGATAAACTAGAAGAGTTCAAAGAATTCATGGCAGCAACTTTCCCAGGTAATGTAGGCAGGGCTTCCTTGTGATGACTGTGTTAAGTTTTTACATTGTTCTGCTTCATAACCTTTTGGTTATGCATTTGCATTTGGAATAATTTCTCTATGATTTCTCCATGATCTCCATGGAGCTCTCTCCATTTCTCCAATGATCTCCATGATTTCTTAGTGTATACTTTCTCAAAATAGTAGAGGCTCTCGCCAGTCTATTATGGGAATCAATGAGTACGACAAACCTGTTCATATGTATTCCTCTAGAATTAAATTATTGAGATTAAGCCTTTTTTTACCCTTGATAATTCTTTTTTTAAGATTTTATTTGATTGTTTGATTTATTTATTTGTTTATTTATTTATTTATTTATTTATTTGCAAGAAAGAGAGAGAGAGAGCACGAGAAGGGGGCAGTGGTAGAGGGAGAGGGAGAAGCAAACTCCCCGCCAAGCAGGGATCCTGATGCAGGACTCAATCCCAAGACCCTGGGACTGTGACCCGAGCCAAATGCAAACACTTAACCAACTGAGCCACCCAGGTGCCCTCCCTTGATAATTCTTTAAGGTTTCCTCTTGACCATGTATCTTCTGCCTTTCCTTGGTCCCTGAGACAGGCAATGCTTATGAAATGCAAACTAGAATAATAAACTTCCTTTACTCCTTTCAAGGAGATAATCTGGATGTGTAACACACAATGTGTAACAATCATTCTGCTTTTGTGGCTAAATTCAGTAAGTGCCTCTCTGTGCTCATGGTACAGAGTCATTTACAGCCAGCTCTATTTACTTCCATTCCCACTACTTTATTTGAATCATTAAGCAGAGACATGGTATGACTTTTAAGAATTTTTACTTCCTTAGTCTCCAGCTTGAGTGATCGCTCTATCAATAGTGTGGTGCCCAGATGGTCAGGATACAAGATTAAATACATGGAGGCTATAACAATGATAAAGCAGTAAATGGTATTGGACTGCACCAAGGAAGTCACAGTAAGAATAGAGAGGAGGATATGACAGGAAATGGATACACATACACAAGTGTGCATGCTCAAAGGGAAGGAATCACTATGTGGGAAAGATCATTAATTCGATATTAACTATATCAATTATACCTAGATATCCAGATAAATATGTCTGTTGGGCAGCTGAATATTCATTTAATCATTCATTCATATGATAAAGATTTATGGAGTGCTTATTGCATGCAGTGCTGAAGTTATGGAATTAACCACACAGTATCATATATGCTGTCTTTCAAATGTTGTATTTCTTTCTTTTCTTCTTTTCTGGATTTATGTACATTATCCAGAAAAGGAGAAAAGAAAGAAAATAGTTGCTCTTTTTATAGCATGGCAGATTATACTCTCAGAAAGTTTCTTCTATTAAATAAAAATACATACAGGACACATTAAGTAAAATTGCTTTTTAATGATTTGCTTAGACTCATAAAGAAAATGAGAACAATTCAAAAAAACAAAACAGAACAGAAAAAAATCATCAAGCTGAAACTTGATAGTAAAAATTTAAAAATGCAAAAGTGGATTTGCCTGCAGCAAATTCCAATACCAGTACTGAGATAGGAGGTGAAACTTTGGACTCACAGCAATATTGGGCAGCTTAACCTAAGATTCCCATAATAAGCAAGGACTTTCAAAAATGAACAGATGCTCTGGTTTCCAGCCCAGCATGTAAGAAGGTTGGAAATTGCCACTCTGTCCTAACAACTAAAAAGCTGAACAAACTGAAAAATCAATAAACTCTTCTAGAATCTAAAAGAGAGATGATGAAACAGGGCAAACCAATGCAGCCGAGATCAAAGAGAAAGGCAAATACAGGGAGTCCTGGCTTACCAGAGTGGAGACTTACAAGCAGAAATCACAGTGGTAACCAGGCCAGGATATGAAACCCTGAACTGTAACTGAATTGCTAGGTGTGCTGTGTGGATAATTCTGAGAGGTAAAAACTCCAGGGAAGGCAATCATGGGGGATTTCTACAACCAGATTACCACAGTAAATATCAGAGAAAAACCCTGCATATTTCTCACAGGGAGAAGGGAAGAGGAATCATTTTGAAGTATACCAGACAGCTCTTTTCTTTGTAACAAGGCCTGCCCTCGGGAGGAAACTAGTTAAACTAAACCCAACTGGATAGAGTATTATCAGAGCCTAACTGACCTTAAAGAAGGGAAATACCCAACTTCAGCCATCTTTTTCCACATAAGGGAGGAGAAAAAAGCTGGGAAACTCTTACAATCCAGAGGCATAGGCCCCGTAAAAGAGTGAGAGTTACATAGGCTATAGAACACTTCCCCTCCAGGGCGCCTGGGTGGCTCAGTTGGTTAAGCGACTGCCTTCGGCTCAGGTCATGATCCTGGAGTTCCTGGATTGAGTCCCGCATCGGGCTCCCTGCTCGGCAGGGAGTCTGCTTCTCCCTCTGACCCTCCTCCCTCTCATGCTCTCTCTCTCTCATTCTCTCTGTCTCAAATAAATAAATAAAATCTTTAAAAAAAAAAAAAAAAAAAAGAACACTTCCCCTCCAGAACACCACATTAGGGAAGATTACTAATGACCTAACTACAGCATTTCCTTTTTCCCAAGAAGTCTAGCTATCAAGAAAAAATTACAAAGCATACAAAAAGGCAAAAAACACAATTTGAAGAGACAGAACAAGCATTAGAACCAGACACGGCAAGGATGTTGGAATTATCAGACCAGTAACTGAAAACAACTATGATTAATATGCCCAGGGCTATAATGGATACAGTAGACAGCAGGTAAGAACAGATGGGCAATATAAGCAGATAGATGGAAATCCTGAGAAAGAACCAAAAATTATGCTGGAGATCAAAAACACTATAATAGAAATGAAGAATGCATTTGATGGACTTATTAGTAGACTGGACCTGGCTGAGGAAAGAATCTCTGAGCTGGAGGATGTATCAATAGAATCACGAAAAAACAAAAAGCAAAGGAAACAAAAACAAACAAACAAACGAAAACAAAAAAACAGAACAAAATATGCAGACTGTAGGACAACTACAAAAGGTGTAACATATGTATAATGTATAAAAAAGAGAAACAGAAGAAATATTTGAAACCATAATGACTGAGAATCTCCCCCAAATTAATGTCAACACCAAACCACAGATCAAGGAAGCTTAGAGAACATCAACAGGATAAGTGCAAAACAAACAAAAAACCACACCCAGGCACATCATTTTTCAACTACAGAAAATCACAGAAAAAGAAAAAATCCTGAAAGAAACCAGAGGAGAAAGACCCCTTATCTATAGAGAAACAAAGATAACAGTCACATCCAACTTCTCCTCAAAAACCATGCAAGTAGGGGTGCCTGGGTGACTCAGTCAGTTAAGTGTCTACCTTTGGCTCAGGTCATGATCTCAGGGTCCTGGGAGTGAGCAGTCTGCTTCTCCCTCTCCCTTTGCCCCTCCCCCATTCATGCTCACTCTCTCTCTCTCTCAAATAAATAAAACCGTTTAAAAAAAATGCAAGCAAAGAGTGAAATGAAATATTTAAAGTGTTGAGAGAAATAAAACTACCAACATAGAATTCTGTACCTAGAGAAATTACCCTTTGTTGTGAAGGAGAAATAAAGACTTTGCCAGATAAGAAAAGAAAAAAATTGAGGGAATTTTTTGCCAGTAGACCGCTTTGCAAGATATGTTAAAAGAAGTTCTTTAGAGAGAAGGAAAATGATACAGGTCAGAAACTCAGATCTACATTAACAAAGAAAGCACACCAGAGAAGGAATAAGTAAAGATAAAAATGAAAACTTTAATTTTTCTAATTCTTATTTGATCTAAAAGACAAAAATTTGTTCAAAGTAATAATAGAGTGATGTAATCAAAATGACCAAATAGGAGTCTTCTATCTGCTCCACAAGGAACATCAATTTTGACAGTCACCCACATGCAAAAGCCCCTTTGTGGAAGTTAGAGTCAAGTAGAGAAGTTCCAGCACATCGGTAAGCAAAAAATCCAAGATTGGTCATACTGATGAGGGTAAGAGAAATAATTTCATTTTACCAGTGTCACCCTGACCACAACGTGGCACATCTCAGTGCCTAGAGAAACCTTCTTTGCCTATAATTTCCCCATGAGGGAAAGTAAGAGTGAATGAGTAAGTATCTGGCTTCCCAAGTTGTGAGGGACACTCACTGGCAAAGAGATCCACTTTTTTCTTGCTCCATCCAGAATACTGAGATGCATTGCATGACTGGGGCAGGGACAAGCTAGGAGAACAGCAGCAGCCAAGACTCTCAGAAGTCATCAAAGGGATGCAGATCCTACAAATCACTTTGAAGACCCCATCAAAAAGCCTGCCAATGAGCTGCTGTTAACACCTTGACTACAGTTCCCCCTAACTGGTCCACAAACACCAATGATATTCCATGCAAGTCACCCACACAAAATCCATATCCTGTGGCTGGCTCCCTATGTGCAACTCCAAGGGTGTCAAGAGTGAGCCTTTGCAGATGACTGGTGTGCACACAGAGAAAGCTGGTCCAAATCTATGGGGTTGGAAGAAGGTACACAAATTTGAGCATTCAGCATCATGCTATGGAAAGCAAATAATACACTCTCATCACCTAGCCTAGCATAGCAGGATTGACAGAAGTCAAAGTCTTAATAATGCACTTCCAAGAGGGAACAAGTAGTATGAAGCAAGCATACCCATTGAAAGGGTCTGAAAAAGCCTCAGAATCCCTAACTGGTTGATAAAAGGTATTTTCTTCCTGAAAGCAGTCAGAAAAGACTGGAAGAGGTGACTGCTACTTCAGATGTAAAGACTCAGGCTCAAAGTGAAGGGATGAATAAAGATACTCCATGCAAATAGAACCAAAAGAGATCAGGATTGCTATATTCATATCAATTTTAAGTCAAAAACTGTATCAAGTGACAAAGAAGTTCATATAATGACAAAGGAGTCAATTTTATCAAGATGATATAACAATTATAAATATATACACACCCAACATGAGGGTACTTAAATA